TAAAAATTAAAAAATAATAATTTTGAGAAGAAGGGAGTAATTAATTAATTTGAAAAAAATTAATTCAAACCGACAATAAACTAAATTGATTTGAATAATAAAAATTTAAAATTAATTTAATTTATAATTTAATTTTTTAATCAACTAAACTAAATCAATTAAAAGATAACATAATTAAATAATTTAAAATCTTCGGTCCGAGAAGATGAAGCAAACCAACATATAGCATGGAACTGCAACAGCCATGGAACAAGAAGATAAGCAGAACAAGCAAGAAGAAACTTCCCGATGGGGACTGGTCCTGCTCAGAGGGAAAACCCACGGTGATAGTTGCTCGTGGGCAAGCCTTCAATGTGCCAAAAGCCAAGAGGGAGGCACACGAGGGCAAGTCACAAAAGGTTTTAATTATGAGAGTCCTTCAATAATGGTAAAATTAAAACAAAGTTTTTAATGTTTTTGTAAAAATATATAGTGTGGCAGTTATATTTAGAAACCCTTATTTAAAAAGTTTGATAATTAAAGCAAAAAAACTATTATGCAGTTTAATTAGAGGGCATAATTTAAATTATTAAAAGAGAGTTTTTGTTATTTCAATATTTTTTATCTCAAAATAATTTTTATTTTTATTTTAAATTTGTTATAAATTAAATATTTTTTATTTTTTAAAATAAATAAATATTTTTAATTCAATCTTAAAATAAGAAGAAGAAGAAGCAGGAAAGAAAGAAAGCCTATACTATCAAAACAGATTGCGTAGAAAAATCAATCTTAAAATATAAAGACATGATTTGAGTGCTTTGAATAAAGGGTGTCTCGGGTTTTCTGGATCTGATTACCGAAATATTAGGACTTTATTATTATTTTATCTGAGATTTCAATTTTTGACGCAAATCGCATCTCCAGCTTTCATTTTTGTTTTGGCCGACATTTCCAGCTTTCTTCAACTTATAATTAATTTTTCCAAAGGAAGCTTTGGTTGATTCGGTGTCGTTTATAATTTCCATTTCTCTAATTTGCAGACTTAATGATTGGTTTAGGTACAGGCGAATAACTGAGTAACCAGTGAAGCCTTAATCTAATCTCAAGATTTTTTTTTTTTATCAAATTGAAATTGGTTAAATATAATTTCAAAATTGAATTTGTTGGTAAATAAGAGTTGTTTTATAATATAAAGTTTAAATCTTAAAATCAATATATAAAAATTTAATTTTTTAAATATATTACATCCATATAAATAGTATACATTCAAAATTATTTAAGGAAAAATTAATTTTAAAATATGTAAAATTTGATATAAAGACCCATGATCATTTCAAAAGAATGAACCTTTAATGTGATGGCAAGAATGGTTTTAAAATTTAAAATTGCAATGAAATGAATTGCAATATGAAGAAATTTCGGAAAACATATATATTCTGTAAAACGAGCGCTCAAAGCACCAGGACTTACGTACCCAGCTGATAGGATATTTGCAAGTTAAAGTGTTTTTGACTACCCAATTATAAATTACGTAAAAAGAGAAGCTACAAGACAAATATTGGAGTTTAGCATAATTGTGACCTAAACTTCAGTAGCCGCCTCACCACTTTCTCACAAGGGTCTTTAATGGAACAATATTGACAATGGAGCTCAAGAGAGTGACATTAGTTATATAAAAAATGTATATGATGTAATTAATTTGGATTGTATTGAATTATATAATATAAATTATAAGATGTGATATATTTTTTAAAAGTTGGATCAAGTTTGTTAATATAATAATTTGTATTTTATAGTTGAAGGTAGTGCATATTATAAAACATAATATTGTACTCTTTCTATCACAAAATAATACATTTTTTTGTAAATTAAAGATTTGATAACCGTCTATGTTTTTATTTATATTATTCTTAAGAATGATAAAGATAAAAAGAGATTTTTTTTGTGATAAAATTAATAATTAAAATTAAAAAATAATGATAAGTTAAAGTAGAAATAATTGTCTCCTTCAAAATATGAAAGAATAAAAATTAATTTGAAACAAATTTTGAATAAAATAATAATTATTATTTTAAGACGGAAGAAGTATTAGTACATCATAGTTAGTTTGATTTCATCTTTTATTTATCGCAATTAGGCTAGTTTACTTACGTTTTGTTTGGTAGTATTGTATTGCATTTTGTTGTAATTTTATTTTTTTTCTTTTATTATCTAAAAAATGTAAAATATTAATTAAAATTAGTAAAATATATAAAAAAATTAATTAAAAATAATCCATTTTCATTTTTAAATAAAATACCATATGAATAAGACATTAGTCCTTTGTTTGTTTGGTTCTTTTCCCATAAGAACATATAGAAGGGGTTAACTAACTATGAGCCGAGAGTCAGAAGAGAAGATGAAGATGCAGATAGCCCCACTTGGGAGTTAGTAAATGGCTGTTTGGTGGAGCTTAAAATCAAGTTTACCTTTAAGTATTTTTTTGTAAAATAAAAAATTGGTCCAAAAAAGTTTCTAAATTAACTTTTAAAGTGTTTTAGAATTAAGTTTTGAGAAAGTTAGAATTTGAAATTTTTTTAAAAATAAAATTAATGTAGTTATAATATTATGTGATTTTATAAAATTATAATTATAATATATAATTATATAATTAAGTTTTTTATTTAAAAATTTACTTATAATAATATATATATTTAATGACATATTATAATTATAAATTTATAATTATATGTAAATATAATACTTCTATCATTACCATTTTTAGAGGGAGTCAGTAGAAGGAGGAAAGGTTGTTTGAGGGTATACAGGTGAAATCTATTGTTTGGAGTCAAGGCAAATAAGAGGACTTAGCATCTTCTTTAAGTGATTGGTCCAATTTCCTATTTTTCTGAGGTAAAATATCCAAATTCACTTCTAAGTATAGTGGCAGGACAGATCTACTCTCAAACAAAAAATGAAGACAAACTCACCCATAAAATTTTTGACTTGGATAAATCACTTCAAATTTAACGTGTGACATCATCTAACATCAACAATCCGTTAATTCGTTAACGAATTGCTGACGTTAGATGACGTTAAATTAACAGATTGTTTATGTCAAATGATGTTACACATTAAATTTGAAGTAATTTATTCAAATCGAAAATTTTATGAAAATAAAAAATTTTATAAGTAAATTTATCATTATTTTTTATTTGAGAGTGGATCCATCATTGTCATTATATTTTAGGGGTAAATTTGAATGTTCTGTCATTTTGTAATTAAAGGAACTATAGCTAAAAATTTTGACAATAAGTT